CCCTAATTTGCTCATTTTCCAATGAAGCATTCCAGTGACATTTTCCGTACTAATCACTAACATTCAAGTGCCAAATGCTTCCTTTGTAAATAAACTGTACACCATAACGTGGTCTCTCCTCGTACGCAAGAACGCGTGCGCAACTGCGGCAAGCTTACACTACAGCGTGATGTTTCACTGCGAACGGTAGGCCCCCGAACGACATTCCCAGTGTGACGTTCCACCTCTGACCTGCTGGTCATCGTTCTGTCGCTTCGTGCCGTCCCGTCTGCTCTCTCGCTGGTTTGGGGCCATGATAAATAAACGGGCCAATGCGCGTATAAGGTTCTAAGCCCCGGGCTTCGATTGGAAAATGATCACCGTGATTAGGCAGTGTGCGTCGGCTAGGGTTCTGAATGCCTGTGAGCGAGGGTGCTGATGTTGTTAACGTTTGCAGTGTCAGTGTGTTCGATGTCCGTCCGCTCTACAAGCGCTGTGGTTGGGTGTGTTGCACTACTGGCTAGCTTTGCGTTAGGGGAGAACTCGACGTCCGATTCGGTACCAGCCTGTCGCCGCCAGTGAGCTTGTCTGTCAGCTGCGGCGCGCCGCGTCACGTCACGTACTGTTGTCGCCCGTTGCGTCACAAAACGTGACACAAGGTGACCCGATGTGACGGCTCGTGACGTGCGCTGATGTGGCCGAACGTCACATGACATGACCGTCTGTCACGTCACACTTTCCGTTCCACAGCCACCGCAGTCACCGTGCGTTTCTGCGTGTGTTCGCGCACAATGTTTCCGTGTGCGCCCGCCGTCGTGCGCACATTCTGTAGCGTTTGTGTACACGTGTGTGTGTGCGCGCGTGTATGTCTGTGTGTACATAGCGGACGGTCGGGGCCGTTACGCCGCTCCGGCTCGAATAGTTACATATCAGCAACAGTGCCCAACCAGCGCTCGGTCGTGGCCCGTCTGAGGCTTTCGGGCCTCCCGGTGCCGCCTGACTGAAGCGTCCGAGCCTTAACTGTACCCGGCTGTTTGTACCTTGGCTAGCTTCGTACCCAGATACCCACGACCAATCTCTCGGTGTGAACCCCTGGCGAGGAGCACGGTTCTCCCCGCTGCCATGACCGTCCTCCGCTGTGTAGCGCAAACAATATCAGGCAATACCGCCCAGCTCGCCGTGGTATGCGTGCGTATTTCAACATTTATCTATCTCATTCCCCTATGCTGAGAGTTGTACCCCAATTCGTCTTTATGAAGCTAGACTGGACTATCCTAAAATTGGCAGATAGCAGTTTATAAACCTACTAGCTCCAAAATAATTCCGAGAACTCGTTGAAATCAGCTTGATCGTGCGATCATGTAGGATTGTTAATCCAGCTTCATGACGCTGGACTGTAGATTCTCGGTCGCTACTTCGTTTCCAAACTCTAATTTAGCTCCATTACCGCACATCTGTGAACCACCGGGGTGAGTGGCCCCGCCCGTTTCGTTTGTAAACGTTTGTTCTGTTTGTATGTGTGTGTGTGTGTGCACGGAACGGCGCTTGACAGGGCAGTGTAGCAGGAACTGACCCCTGCATCGCCCCGCACTTGGTGTGATTACTGTATGTGGACGTCCGTGACTGTCTTCAAGCATACGATTGTATTAATCAGTTTGTAAATACATTTATTTTTGCCGATCCAACCCGCGTCTGACAGGAAGCGGACAGGTGAACGAAACGTCCGTATGAGTAGGTTCTAATGCAGAAATGGGATCAAGTTCGCTTTCAATAAAGGAAAGTGCACAGATGGCCCGGGCCGCCGAAGACAACAGGCTTGCCAGGGCGGGTTTTGTTTTCGTACGCGCCGACCAAACGGCTGGAAATTAATTACCTATACATAGTACCGGTGAAACACACGAGGTGTGCATGCCAGATGGCTCGACTTCGGATCCATTGAAGGCAGTGGATCCATACATCGATTTCAGAATGGAGAGACGCTTGGAGAAGTGGGACAGCCAGTAGCCACTGACTACTGGGAGGTCGCTTGGGGAAGCGGGTGACGAATGAAGCAAACCAATGTACCACGACAGATAAGTAGATAAGCAGGTTCTGAGAGAACTTTTGAGAACTGTTACACAGTCTGGATCCGATCCATCGCGATAATATAATGGCATTCATTATGCGACGCGCAGCACTTCGTCTGGTGACGACTTGGTCGCAGCCTCACATCTGAACCTGTATTATAAACAAGACGCACATTCATTATAAACTGCAGCGTGTCTTTTGTGGTTACTGTCGCAAATCGGAGAAGTTGCAAATTGCAATTCACCGAATCAATTAACCCCGAAAAGGAGAGAACCCACATCGCTACCCTGGCGTATAAGCAGCCATGGAGTGAATGTCAGTGCTACTATCAATTAAGTTGCATCATTGCAAATCGCGTGGTCTTGACATTAGTGGGCGTGTCCGCATTTCATAAGATAATCCATAAATGGTCGGTGCACATGCTTTAACATCGGGCAACAAATCACAACTAGGCGTAAAATAGCCGTCAATCCACGAATTTCCCGGGCCAGTCACTGTTGCGTTTGTAAGCCATGGACAGCCACGCCTGACGCCTTGAACGACCAGAAAACGACATTCGACCTCTTAGGTCACGGAACTCAATCGCGAACCATCGAAGTTGACGTGAGGCCGAAAACAAAATTATGATAGCCTGTAGGGAGAGAAAAGGAGGTTCAGTGTCTCCATAAATCCTTATAGGTGAACTCGAGGCTTTACATGGATACAATGAAGGATATCTGACAGCGTTGCTAGCCACGCTATTAGCTTGGCTGACTATTTCACTGATTATGATTTCAGAGTTAGCTTCTTCACTTACAAAAGTTAGCGGCCGGACGCCTCCCAATGCATTTACTGCCTGACATCATTATTCCGAGCTCGTTTGAGCCCCATGGAGAACCCGTGACCTGAAATCACGTGAGGGAAGTCTTGATTGAACTCACAAACCACGTGAACTTAGGTCAAACTTGTGTGATATGATTTAGGTATCCATGAAGTAGAATCGCTTGAAATAAACTTATTGCCCAGTTCAAAACCAGCGGTCGCGAAACAAAGTTATGTCCCAATCATAGTTATATCCGTCTCTTAGCAGCCGGGAGCATTTAGTGTAAAGCTCTACCCCAGACAAGTATCCACCTACATATTCGCCCCAGAGAACAGGAATATTTTCTTATTGTTTTATGCACCCTCAAATTCCATCCCAAGTCCTCGCTGTCCCGCTTTTCGCTCGTAGAAAGCTGACGTTGGGTGAAACTAATGGCGCCCTTCCATTTCAAAAGGAGTGAGGTAGCCCCTTGGTTCCCCTTGGATTGATGGGTCCCCGCCTACCGGCTCAGACCCCTCAGAAGTTTGAGGCGATTTGACGGACACGGGACACGCGGAGATGAACGGGCTTTCTCGATAAATCAGCGGGCGGGCAGGGCTAAATAGCTAATGGGCGCGGCGTAGATAATGACGGTAATACCGATCGTTTAGGTGAGGTCTGATCCAATTTGTCCGTTTCGATCTTCACGCCCGACCTTGCTCATCTGTCGGACATGTATTTTACTTTTGCCTACATATAAGTTATAACGTCTCAGATTAGCACCAAACGGGCACCTGACTTGGGTTAAGTACACACAAGAACGTCTGAGTGAGTCCTCCAACTTTATCTCCAACCGGGGCGGTAGTGGCCCTCAGCCCCGTTCCCCGTCTTGTCACCCCGCCCGACCCGACTCGGCGGAGACACTGACCAATCACTGAAATGACGGACCGTGGTCGGTCGCCCGAACACCGCTGTCGGTCGGAGCCGCTACTGTGTCGCTAATTGTCGAGACCGATCGCCTCCATTTGCATCCGGGTGGGGGGAGGCAAGGCAGGCTGGACAGAGAAAGGGTGTTACATTTAGGTCATGGATGCTCTATTCGACTCTCTAGCGTTAGTGTTCGCTTGCATGATATTAATAGATTTTAATGAATCTATGGTTCGTGTCAAAACATTATCAATTAGACGTCTAATGTAATCATTCATCCGCAGCAGACTTAACTCACAGGCATTCATGCGTAAAACCCAGACATTCCGTCTCGGTGGGCGCTCAGCCGACCCTTCAGCACGTGTCCAGTCGCACAGAATCTCACACGCCCGCTCACCGCGTGACCAAGGCCCGTGTGAGAACTGTGACCACTGACCAGGCCAGGGCGTGGACACGTAACTCTCAAGGTGACCAGAGGGTCACGCCACACCCCAGGTCAGCGGCACCCACCCGTCGAAGTGTTTCACAATGTTCGTGGGATCACTGCTCTGGGGTTGACGTTATGACCGTGAATGATTGACTGATTGGGACGTGGGAAATAGGCGTTAAAGTTAGTCTGGTTTTACACTGAGAGTGGTCTCCATCTCAATCGGAGATGGCTGACGCCGTGGCACAATACGGGGAGAGTACTGGTTCACGAGAACTCGCCACACTGTTGCCCGGCAGCCAAAGCCGACCTTCACAGTTTGAATAGACGGCCGTCGGCCATGCGATCGGCACGAACCACGAGCGTGGTCCGCCGGCAGCAAAATGGAGAGGGGAGAGGGAAGAAGGGGGAGAGGAGGAGAGGGGAGGGAGGAAAGGAGAGGAGAAGGGAAAGGAGAGGGGAGAAGGAGCCAGGGAGGGCAAGGAGCACGGAGGATTTGCGATACAGGTGTATGTCGGAGGCAGGGGATGGAGATGACGATTACGGGGATGCAACAAGCCAGACACCATGGCTTGTGGGTGGTAGTGATAAATAGCTGAAGAAATGCAACATTTACATACATTCGAGGCCGTTGGCACGAAACATATTGGTAGGTAAATGATAACAGACCATCTCATATAACTGGTAAATGGTACTTAGGTATGCTGGACTTCAACTTAAAATAAGTTCTCAGTTCTGCGTTTGCTTGATGAGCATCCCTCCCCCTCCCCCCTCCCCAACGAAAAGGACCGAACAATCCGGCTAAAAACGCAGTTGCTTGGTATCCCTTTATTGACGGTGACGTGTCACATAAGCAGGTGTTACATTGACGTGATATTTGGTAGCAGCATAAAAGCACGACCCAAAACCAAGGTTCATATGAGGACACCAAAATCACAGGTTACCGTTATGTTGACTACATTATTCACCACTCACCGGCCTGTAAACTACTTAACCCCACCTTAACCCTATTCCTGGCGGGCTCCGCCGGGACAAGAAACTGGCGGGGGGGGGCCGATTCGGCCCCCCCCCCCTGAGATCTCGAGAACGAAGCAAGATAGCGACAAGCGGTAAACGGCATCGGATACGCATGGACAAGGTCTACAATTTTTACTAAGGTCATTTTCAGGTCAGGTCAAAGATGACGTCACAGGGGTCGAAAAAGTCAAAATGGCGGCGCTAGATATGGAGAGTTTTTCTCGAATAACTTTCGAATTAGTCAAGATAGGAACAAACTAAGGGCATCATCGTGATCCTCTCGTCAATCCGCATCGAATGGCATATATGTTGACCTCGAAAGGTCAAGGTCAAAGGTTGACCTCAGGTCACGTGACCTCGAGGTCATCATGTATATCATTCGATGCGTCTTGACGATCTGAACACAATGAGACCATCCACGCGTCTGTATCTTGTTCCTGTACGGAGTTATTGGCCAAAAACCTTTGGTGACCTTTGATGACGTCACATGACCTCACAGCTGCCCAACAGCAAAACAGACCTCAAGGTAGTGAATGTTGATCGTATATGAAGTCATGTATGGTATATGGGGCCATTCCGACCCGTTTTAGTGGTAAAAACAGGGAGTTGATTTTTCCCCCATTGACTTATAATGGGGAGGTCGCGAAACTGACCTGACCTTAGGTCACCGATATCAAAATTCCGAGATATACAAATTGCACATACTGGTACCCTAACTAAAGCCTGAAGAGAAGAAATTGATCGGTCAAAAACTCTAGCTCTGGCGTGATTGCAAACTTTTCTGAGGTAGGGTCACCAAACCGCCTCTGGTGACCTGACCTGAGGTCAGATCAACTCAAAATTTTCAGACATGTTGCGTAGAAGCCTTTTAGGAAAAGTCAGAAAATTTGAGCTTCCTAGCTCAACGCGTTTGGGAGAAATAACCAAAAAACCTCAGGGGGGGGCTCCTGAGGCCCCCCCCGCCAGGAATAGGGTTAGGGATAAAATAAATAGTTTAGAGACAACGTCTCCGATAAAAGAGTCACAGCAATGTAAAAAGCATTCAAACAATTGATAGTTCATCTACAACTGAAAGTTTACCTAACCATCACAGATAAATGTGTCCGTCTTATAAAGTTTGCCATGAAAGTCTGAATAAGTGGTAACCAGACAGGAACCCAAACGCGTAATTATATCGACTTTCCTCTTTCACTGGGTCTGAAATGTTCAACCACGTCCTACAGAGGACCGCCTATTGATGTCAGTATACAGGCTGACGTGTTAATAATACGTATATGGCACTGCACACCGAGTAGTTAGATGCCACACAATTGAACACTGTGCTCCCAGAGTGCCGTGCCTCTTATTAGGTACACTGAGGATAAACCAAATGAAACTTTTAAGCGGTGGTTGGAGTGTAAAATGTCTCTTATTATCAGCTGCCAAAGCCCCACATTCATAAAAATAACTACACTAAGCGTCGAAGGCCCCACACTGAGTGAAATAAACAGCCCCACTGCCACCAGAACACAGGGCTTTCGAACTCCTGCGCCATCACACCTCGAAGTCAAGATAAACACACCACAATCCATGACAGCACAGCACACAGCAAATAATCCATACAATACAATAGCGTGAACCACCCGATCCACTCTGTGCGACCAAAAGCATCACTGAATGAGATAGACATCCCGATATTAGAACAGAGCGAAGCACTGCTGCTACAACACAGTACCGGGCTAGTGATCGCGAAAAGTCTATCCGCAGTGCCCAGGGGAAAGTGATAGTTCTCCCAAAAGCTCTAACTCTAGCTGAGTCCCAAGTGCTAATTCACTCGCTGCGAATCTCCGCACATGTCGGATTGCAAAGGCGAGGCGAGAACCGTGATAGCGTTTCGGGGAGATCCGATAGCTCTGGTGCCAATGCAGCCTGTGCAACTGATCATGTTGCAAAACGACACCCAACGCCGTGACAACGGTGCATTGAGTCATCGGCAGCCAGTACTCTACTGAATATTAGAACGGTGATAGAGAAAGAAGCAAAACAGTGAATGATAAATATCACAACACACCTAAATACGCCTTTGAAGCCTGCGCACATTCATATGTAGATGCTGCTTGAACCCATTCACCAGACTAAAATCTCCTCTTTTGAACAAAGCCAATACTAATACACATATAAATGCAAGGAAAATAAACCTTCAGGTGTTTATCCACAGGTAGAGTTAGAAGGGCCCAATACAAAGGCAGTGTATCGGCATTACTATCCTTCTGCCTCCCTCTGTCATGGTGTAAGCTAACGTACGTTTCCATAAATTGAGATATAAGAGAATACGAATGCAACCAAAAACCCTGATTTCCCGTGTCAAATAATACAAAACAAGCTGGAATGTCATTCACAACCGTAGTTGCCTGGATGGGTGACTAGATCGGTAGTGAAACGCTAGACGAAGACGAGATGAAACTGAAGCGTGACACCACAAGCTGACTGAAAAGTTCGCAAGATGCTCTCGGGAACTATAAATAATTCGGAAAGCTGATAATGCCAACGAAACATCATTCGGCAAGAATGGCTAACTAGTATATATGAAAAGTAAAAAAGAAATGAGAACCGACTTTAAAGCTTATTCAGATAGGTTCGTAAGAAGTAAGAAGCGCGGAATAAGAAGCGTAGCAAGAAGCGCGGAATCCGCTTCAGAGGCATTGACTTCAGCAAGAGTTGAACTCAAATACTGTGACAAGCGTCACATCCTCCGAGTTGGAGGGTAATTCTCCTCCCCTCATCGCAAAATACTGCATCTCTCTGACTTCTTACGATTACCAGCTTACTAGTCCATCACTAATGCTCCCTTCCTAGCCACTCTCAATGAACTCCGGAAACCAACACCCTCTAACTCTTCCCAGCAGGCTCCTGCCTCACGCAGCCCGTTATTTAAAATTCTCTTCGTCTACCTGTCTCAGTGTCTCAGTCTCCACCATCTTCTCCCACCCCGTCTCCGCCTCCATCAGGCCTCCGACTCGGCCGGTTTCTTTATCTCCTCCGTCTCCTTCCCCTTCTTCTCCTCTCCTTCTGTCTCCTTCTCTCCCTCCTCCACCTCCGGCGGGGTTTCCTCAGGACCGGCCGGCGGCAGGATCAGAGCCGCTCCGTCGGCGGTCAGCTGGGGTTCCTCCTCACGGCGCACGTTCTGCAGAAGCAGATCGGCCTCGCGATGGCGCCGGTAGGCAGCTGTGGTGGCGTGAGTCAGGGCAGAGCAAACCTGCTGACCCGCCACTTCTGTCTCAAACACGTGACAGAACAGCGCCTGGCCGGGAGTCAGGGTGATCATGCCCAACAGGCGGTCGTTCTCCAGGTGCGGCGCCCAGAACGAGATGTGGTGGAATGGGTACAGCGCTCGCAGCCGGCCTGTCTCACCCGGTTCGGTGACACGAAGCTCGTTTAGACCCACCTCCAGTCGACAGCGAGCCGCGTCCGCCAGTCGGTGCTGGGCGCGAGCGGTCTGGATCTGACGGATTACCTCTGAGACAAGACGGTGCCCGCGGTCGGCCTGTACCTCCATCGAGCCCAGGAAGCGGGCGTCGAACGTCTGGCCGGCAAAGGGCGGCGCGTCGGCCACGTCGGCGGCCGCCTGCTCGTCGGGCGACCAGGGCAGCTCGAACACGATCGGAGCGTCGGCGCTCAGAGAGTCGGGGGTGTCGGCGCCGCGAGACCGGCTGCGGGAGGAACAAACGGAGAAGACGGTTACTACAGAAATGGATGAACAAACTACATCAGAATCGCAGATGCACAAGGCATGCCAATGAAGAAAGGAGACAAAACCCATGGTAATTTGGTGACGATACAGATACATGTTAAGATGGGTATAGGGACCGAACAATGGCGAAGTCATTGACACGCAGGGTATATAGATTGACACGAGTACAGCATTTGCAATCAGGGCCTATTTTAACATGTTAACTGGGGTGGCAAAACCCACCCCAGTGGTGCGGTTTTCCACCCCAGTCGTCTTACTTTGCCACCCCAGTGAAAAACAGCCCAAAAGTCCGCCCACATATATTGGCTGCCGACAATCACGGATGCGACACATTCTTGGGGCGCAACTCAGCTTGACAGGGGGAAAAGGGCTCACTGAGGCGCCACCACCACCAATGGGGGTGCCCTCTCACTACTGGGGGTGCCCTGCCGCAAGTGCAACTGTGGCGCCCTACTTCGATTGGGACACACTACCGGCAATGGGGCGCCCTACCAGCACTTGGGCGCCTACCACGACTGAAGTGTCCTATCAACATTGGGGCGCCCAGACACGATTGGGGCGCCAACCACCTTTGGGCGCCCTATCAGAAATGGGACGCCGTACCACTACTGCGGCGTCGTAACACTACTGTGACGTTCCGCTGGTGCTGGGGCGCCCTAAGTTTCTGGTGCACCCTACCGCCACGAGGCGCCCTACCACCACTGGGGCGCCCACCACTACTTGGGCGCCCTACCACTACTCCGGCGCCCTGCTACAACCGGGGCGCCCTACCATCACTGGGCGCCCTGACACAGCTGGGGCGCCCTATCACAACGGGTGCACCTTACCACAACTGAGGTGCCGTACCACTACTGGGGCGCATTTACTCTAGCAATAAGTCAAGTAACTAACTCGCCCTTACTGCCACTACTGGGGCGCTATGCCACAACTGAGACGCCTTACAACCAGTGGATCGCCCACCGCTGTTTGGGCTCAATGCCGCTACTGGGGCTTCATTACACTACTGAGGGGTGCCCCGTCACGCCTGGGGCGCCCTACCGAGACTGGAGCGCCCTGTCACTACTGGGGCGCCCCTCAGGGACGCCATACCGCTACTGGATTGTCCTACTATTCAGGCGCCTTACCACAACTGAGAAGATATCTCGGTTGAGGTATCAATGGCGCATCGATGACAAATAGCAATATACAAATTACAACACTGGTCAGTGGTCACCAATGCATCTTTCTTGGCATTACAGAGCCATAAGCTCTTCAAAATCTGGAGAGCGTCTCGAGGCAGTGGCGTGGCGAGATATTGGCCGCAAAATTGAATTGTGATGTGGCTTTGAGACTGGCCGCGTGATCAACAGCGGATTTTCAAACGCACGTGCACGCATTGCTTCTGACGAGGGTATTTCCAAGAGAAAAATCTGGCGGGCGGCGGTTTAATCCTCGCCCGTATTGGTGTTTTTCCAGCCGCGGACGTATAGGGGAAGGGGGGGGGGGGCGTTAGACCCCCCACCTTGCCGTTTTGCCCCTGATTGAGCTAGAGCTTCGCGGAAAAAACGAGCGTGTTGCCCGTGACGAGAGAAAGCCGATGATATCCAATTTTAAGGTCCTAGGTCATCGGTTGACCTTCCAGGTCAGATCAATGACCCAAAAGTCGAGAAAATCGGGACCTGTTTGAACGTCGTAAAGGGTGGCTCCTATGGGGTTTTTCGGGGTGCTGATGACGAATATCATGTTAGTTATGATCATAGATGATTCTTCATGCATTTAGGCCAGGTCGGGTCAGGTCAGGTCAGGTCAACCGGTAAGGGTTTTGCCGGGTATTCGTAGTAAGTGGCAACCGCCTCTGACAGCTTCGTAACATGTAGTGAAGGCACCAAAACTACATCGTTAATGTTCAAATGATTGCTAAATTCGAATTCAGCTCCAAAAACTAGCCTAGAAACAAGTAAAACTCCAAAAAGTGAACTGAGGACATCAAAGATCAATGACCTGACCTGACCTTCCAGTGACCTTGACACCCACCCTAATGCTGGCATGGGAGCAACATCATATCACATGCTTGAACGCTTGAAACCACGAAAAGACTGCAAACGCGCGCCTAATGCGAGCCGACACGCCGAATCGCGATTCCGACCAAACATGGTCTTGAAAAGTAGGTCACTGGTCAAAGGTCATTAGGGTCAGGGTCATAAAATTTTCAGGGTAGGTGTAAAATTGATTATCGTGAGGGTACCAAAAGTTTCGTCGCGATCGGTCGCTTTTTACGCGAGTTATTCGCGAAAAAACGAGAGGGGTCCGTTTGACCCCCCTCCCCTATCCTGGCGACCGGTTAAGTGACCTCGAGTGACGCCGCTGCCTTGGGATGGGAAGGTGTTTTGTTTATCATGGACGGATCGGGGGGGGGGGATTTTAGGGCCATCGGCATAAGCAGTAAAAGTTCTCTGACGAAAGGGGGTTGCACCATGCACAGCCGACTTTTGGCTGAATTCTTTCCATGCAGCGCCCGAAAGGGCTATGTTAGAAAAAAAAAACTATGCCAATAAACGCCTCCAGACACTTTCCCGAAACATTAGCCCTTACGTACTACCGTCACAAATAAAAGATTCTGAGACTCGATTGTGTCGCCCCCCCCCCATCGAAATGCTGCGCACATCAGCATTTCGGTGGGAGGGGGGGGGGGCGCCCACACAAGAGACAGAGGCGCCACCACTGCCTGGCCACCCCAGTCAAATTGTCTTAAAATAGGCCCTGTTTGCAATGGAGATTGTAGATAAATGCGTGCGTGTTGCGTAACAGCCCACGAGACGGAAGACAGCCGGCAGCACTAAGATTACTTTACTACTCTACATCTAGCACTGCATATAGCATTTACTTCAAGAAGCAAAAATACGTGATTCATGCCCAGTTTCACACAAAATGGAAACATAATTTGTGGGACGAAACCTAACTCCCGATCGTCATTAACGCCAACAGCAGCATTCTCCACACAGTAGATACGCGTAGGCACGAGCGTCAACCAGAGGACAATGGACTTGTTATGGCATTAGGCGCGGGAGCAGCCCCACAGCGGCGTGGAACAGTCGTCCACCAGAGGATACAGGGTGCGCGCTCACGCAACGCCGTGATTACGGTAACAGAAAATAGAAAAACAGCGCGCTTCGCAAACTTCCGACAGGGGGAGGGATAACGAGAATGGTTGGTGGATTGAAGGTGTCGAGAAATAACGGGCTTCAGCTGCAACAGATCATCTGCGTTTTTCCTCAACCGTGCAAGGATTTCTGTTTATCTTTTCCCAGCTGACGAATCAATCCCAGTACATGTATACCAAACCAGCCACACCCCAAGAATTCATCGAGCATGACTAACTCGGGACAGGGTCGAGGCGGGCGGATACATCAGATGTATCACAGAGCTCTCCCGGCCCGCCTATGTACTCTCATGAGTCATGACGCAACGCCGGCCTGCAAAGCCGCGGAACTATAACACTTATCGGTGGATTAGGGCCTATCGGACCACCCTGCGGCGTTCCCGTCTGACACACAAGAGAGGCCACAGCTGGTCCGATAGGCTAGTCTGAGTGGTGACCCCGCAGGTATGTATTCTGCGATACGACTCGTATTGGCTGATGATTGGTGATGCAAAGCACACTGATGCGATGGCGTCAGACATAAATAGACGGCAATCGGACAAAACGAAACAAACGTTGGCAGCGTTGGTAAACACTAGTCGCTGTTTGCATGCGAACAGAAATATGGGTGGTTATCGGCGGGCAAACAGCGCCAAATGCGTTAAACGCAAAGGTCAGGGACCTGTCATCCGTTGCTGCAAGCAAAGCCCGATTCAACTAAAGGGACCCTCCCACCTTCAAAAAAGTTAATGAATTGGCATGAAAGTGATGTCGCTCGGTTCAGAAAGAGCAAAAACGAATATCTACCAAATTTCACCGAAAATATTCACCGGTTTTCAAGATATTAGACTTTTACTTTTGTTTACTTTTTTGGGATCTCCGCTGTTTCTAGCGACTTCATTTTGAAAGTGCGGCGTTTGCGGCAAATGTTGCGTGCAAATAGCATATACCATCACTGCTTCACAAAGATGTTAGTATAACGTTTTAAAATCGTTAGATCACCGCTGACGTCACAAATTCTAAGGGGGCATCTCAATGCATTAGCCCCTAAGAATCCGAAAACTGCAAGTTTGAAATTCCATATCTCCGAATTAAAGCATTTTTCGATGTTGTGAGTGCCCAAACCGGTATTTGCAGGCCATGACCACCAATTTGGCTATCTCAACTCAAAAGTAATGTTAAGGTGGGATGGTCACATTAAATGTTCAAAATGATTTGCCTTGAAGCGACGCTTTTGAACATGTACGAAAAAAAAAACTTTTCACGAATCTCTATCTATCTAACGCGCTGAGAGATCGAGGAAGTTTCCACTCGCACCATTTGATTAGTGCGACATCCAATAGCGATTATTCAGCGATATCAATCATTCGCGTACCTGCCATCTGTGGTATGGTGCTGCAGCTTATCGGCGAAAAACTGGCTGACCCCGGAGAGGATCGAACCGGCGCCGGGCGAGCCGATTTTCTCCGAGCCGGACGGGCGGCGCACGTATCCGCCGGTTTTGACGATGTGTCCGATGGCGGCCAGCCACTGGTCCCTCTGACGGTCGTTCATCGCCTGGAGGATCACCGATCTGCGGAAAACGCAACAGAAATTACAACTAATCGCAAATCGCACATGCTTATTCATGGTTACATGACCAGTTACCAAAGCTAAAATAAAGTTGAATAAAAGTTGAAATAAAGAGATAAAATCGTATTATGGCTTTTGATGTTTGGGAACCAGCTTAGTAGGTACAGTCACCAGCAGTTGCTACCCATCACCCCCGGACGGCGGGGGAGCAAGCTACCACCGCCCCTGCGAGACTAGCGCCGCCATGCGCCAAGAAGTGGAAACACCACGTGACTGAGGCCACGTGAGGGCAGGGTCACGTGATGGAGGGGCGGAGCATAGTAGCTTTTGCGCCCGACACTAACTGAAATGCGGCGCTGTGATTGGGCGCCTTAGCATGAATGAAGCCCCGGCGCCAGAATCAGCCGTTCGCCTTATATGGAAAGTGAGCCTTTGCGTTTCACTGTTGGTTTGAGAGCCACGGCACCATACGAATTGTGAGCCCCTTTGAACGGGTCACCGCCCGAGGCACTGAGGCGACGGCTGTGCCGGGCAAAGTCTCGCCTGGTGGGAGAGGTGGGCCAGGGAAAGTGCGATCGAGTGGATTGGTATTATCCAACCGCGACAAACGATGTCAGCAGCCTCTTCTCGTGTCATAGACAGTGTCTATGACACGAAAAGCTAGACAGACAACGTGGGCAGTGCCCAATTAAAAGCTACTAAACGATCCAGTTAAGACGTTGGCGAGGTAGCCAGACCAAATAAAAAGTTTTTAATTCGATTTTGGTTTACAAGTGACCAGGGGCGGCGCCACGGGTTTTCGATAGGGGGGGACGGGGACCTTGCCTGACCGAAAATCCCAAAAGTAGATACTGATCGTGTATGCAAAAAAAAAAACGAGGCACGTAACGCCGCGAAACTTGGCAAAGCCCAAAACACATCGAATGGTGCATCCCGTTTCCAAACTTATCCTAGGACACCTAAGATCGATCACCTTTTCAAGCATCCTTGCCTCTAAAGTCTAAATCAAAATTTGCAGTCTTGCCAACTCAAAGCTGGTTTCCTACAAGCTGCGAATTGCTTAGGTATGAGTAGCAGTGCCAACTATTCTTACGTTTCGTACTTTCAAATTTTCGATCTTACGTCTGGTCAGCTTTATGGCTTCACCATCAAATAGTCATGGAGGAAAAGTGGGAATGTCTTCTGCTCTGACAAGTGCGCCAAAACTGCTATATAATTTCAGAATCATGACATCACCACCTGATCCATATGCAACGGGCAGGGTGCAGCTAATGGCTAGCCGTCAGTGGTCATGTCATCGGTGGTCACTCAAAAGGTCATGCTAGGTCATGGAAGGTCACCAGCCGTTATTTGATCACACTTTCTGATGGATTTTCTTACCAAGAGCTTCGCGGAAAAAACGAGCGCATGCACCGTTGAAAAAAAAAATTGAGTGAAAGGGTCTCAGGTCCGACGACCTCTGCAGGTGAAATGCCCCAGGTTGGATTCCGGTCCTTGTTGATTAACTTCGTCAAAAATGGCAGTAGAGCTGTGATGTCGGCACCATTGTGTTCGTCATGATCGAGCTGGCACGACCTGCATCGTTCTCATATTCACCCTCCAATCGTAACAACTACAGCAGGGATTGGCAAATGGCGGGGCACCCCCTTTGGGAGGTAATGAAGGTCTCTGGAAACCTCATCCCTCATCTCTTTAGCATTAGTGGCTCTCCTTATGGAACAGGTCTCTTGGCTGGTCTGTTTCACCCCAGAATTCAAAGACTAGTCAAGGTAAAACCGAGCGCACCACAGTGAGCACAATTTGATAAGCTGGTGTAGGTATCTCAATTTTCATGTAGAACCTTTCACGTATCACGTACCTAAAACCCTTTCGTGCACTCATGCAAAAGCAACTGCCATGTTTCAACAGCTGGTAATGGCATTTTCACAGCCGCTGACGTAAGAAGGGGAGGGGGGCTCGATTAGACCCCCAGCCGTTCGGCCGCCCACCGAACTTAGTTTTGAAGAAAAAAAGAGTGCTATCGAACCCCTTGACGAGAGGGAGCCGATGCTACCCAATTATAAGGTCTTGGGCTACTGCGTGCTTTTTGGTCCTGCCTGTAATCTATCCGAACACTTCTCCCCAAGTGCTGGGGTTAAATGGCATAGATTTCAAATGGTTCCTGTGGTAGAACTGCCATGCTTGAATTTGACTTACATATTAGGAATGGACAATATCCATAGAGTAACGGAAATCTATTGAATTTCAGTAGACTTGGTTTTGTCGGCAATGGGGTCTGGCAGTGGGGTGGGGAGGTAATAACCCTGTGCCTGGCGCCCCAAAAAAGGGAGGGGCACGATCCCCGCTACCGATCACCTTATAACTACAGGCATCACAGCTCCACACCTTTTGCAGATGGCCAGGACCCCCTGCAATACATCCCAACAGCAATTTTTATTCAGAACCTGCCTTGATTAACCAACGATGCATTAAATGCGACGGATAACTCTACAATGCGTTATTATCAACTATTGAACGGGCCTCGCCGATAGGGGGGTACTGTACCCCCCTAACTTTCGATAGCGGGGGACCTGTCCCCCCCGTCCCCCCCGGTGGCGCCGCCCATGCAAGTGACATACAAGCCCGCTGTGATGGACCAAAAAAAGGAGCTGAACAGTCCATACAACTTCTAAAAAGCTCAACGGTTTAAAAATTCAAAAATTAAATGTTAAAATTCAGCCTGCATGTTTAAACTCTGGTCCGGCGCTGGCAGGAAGCTTATATTGCCACTTGCAATTCCATTTCCACTACGTTGTAATACTAGGGTTGACTATTAAGTAATGTAAGTGCCTTAAGCAATTAAACTCTAGTATAACCAAGAGTTCTGTGAGAGCAGCAACTGAAAGCCCCGTTGAGGGGGGGGGGGGGGGGCGGCGCGAAACGGCCCCCTCTCCTTTTCAGTCGATATCTCCTAAAGTAGGTATAGCAAATGTCGCCACCAAACTTTCAAGACCCCTCCGGGCATCATTTTTACACCTTGTGACCAAATTTTTCCAGAGCTCTTATGAAAGGTTAGCCACAAATGACGTCAGAAGAATGCCATTTTCTGTCATTTTCGACCCAATAAAAGGTTTAGCGGGAAGAGCTGTCACGCTTACAGTTTTGAAGATAACGAAAAATATTCAAGATCAAAAAGATGTAAAATAAACAGCGCTACCAAACTGCTAACTCTTATTTCCAAACAAAAATTGATTTTGACCATCAAAACAAAACTATAGAAGTATAACACCCCGAAAATACCAACAACTTTCAAAACTAAAACTGAAATATATGTTATAAAACTATCTGCTCTAGATATGCCAAACTTAAACTCGATAGCTCCATCTCTAGCAAAGTTATGGAAAAAACTTCTCAAAATTTATTACGTAAAATTTTCAAATTCAATTTTAGCCGTCACAGAACCCACAAAGCAAGCAAAAGGCCACCATTGGATTTCCTGTGATGAGCTGCATCGAATAGATACCCCTTTTATGCAAAATATCAACTTTGAAATTTGACCTTCTTTGACCTGACCTTGACCTGACCTCCACCAGAATGTAATCTAAACTGGCCCCAATGGCCGTCTAGCTCACACCATTGAATTTTAAATGTAAAATTAGCCATAAAACATGTATCACACGACCCTAGCATAGTTGGGTTCATATTGTGACCCTTAGTGACCTGACCTCTATGAACTGACCTGGCATCAATGACCTCTTTAGGCAACATATGTATTAGACAACCAACGCTCCATCGATGTTTTTTGATAACATGCCTTTTATTTGATGTGTTAACTGACTGTAACGCATTCCTTAGACTAAATCGGTGAAAAAATGCGACCTTTGACCTGACTTGTGACGTCATGGGTTGCACCTAGGTCAACGAAACCTGGTAACAAGGTAGTTACCTGGTGGGGCTATCGAACGCTCTTTGAATGTTTAAAATCGGTCGGTAACTTTCCGAGATCTCAGGTGGAGGGCGAAACGGCTGCAACACCCGATCAGGTGGTAGGGTCCGCCAATAGCCCAAGAGGGCGCGGAATATTTATTCACTCATACAGTGTCATTTATATTGAGCACACCTTTCTCACGCCATGACATGGTCCTCTCGTAATAGAACGAGATGAGGAGTGTTTTCACGCCTCCTTATGCACGGCTCTAATTGAGCTATCAACTGTCAGCGATTTTCGGACAATGAAGTTCTTAGTTCCTACTGAATCCAATTTTATTTCAAACGATTGTCACTGTGCTAGTTTTCTTCTTATACGTTTTTGAAAAAAAAAAAAACGCTGAAGAAGTCTTTGATAGACGAAACCAGTCCGCTTATTCTTTTTCTAATTGTTTTTTGAATATATTCGTAGACTACTGGCTCTTTACTACACAATTTGAGAATGTTTGGTATTACTTTGGCCCGAACGATGTGCAGCTGAATTTTCCCTCTTGAATGATTACTAGAGGTACAGGTTTACGCGATAACTGTATGTTTTGATTTATGTTATGTTACGGGTGCATTAGTTTGGGTGATTGACTTGTATTTTTATCTGTATTATTTGGGTAGATTTGGGTAGCTGTTTTTAATTGAACTGTAAGGGATGGTGATAGTTGCGGGGTGTTCAAGTGTTTTGTATGTTGGGCCCTTTTTGAACTCAACCCTACCCCTACCCTACCCCTACCCTACCCCTACCCTACCCTATCCTACCCCCTACCCTACCCTACCCTACCCTACCCTACTACCCTACGCTACCCTACCCTACTACCCTACCCTACCCTACCCTACCCTACCCTACCCTACCCTACCCTACCATACCCTACCCTACCCTACCCTACTACCCCACCCTACCCTACCCTACCTAACTCTACCCTACCCTACCCTACCCTACCCTACCCTACCCTACCTTACAATTCCCTACCCTACCCTAGTCCATACCCTACCCTACTACCCTACCCTACCCTACCCTACCCTACCCTTACACTACCCTACCCTACCCTACCCTACCCTACCCTACCCTACCCTACCCTACCCTACCCTTACACTACCCTACCCTACCCTACCCTTACACTACCCTATCCTACCCTACCCTACCGTACCCTACCCTACCCTACCGTACCCTACCCTACCCTACCGTACCCCACCCTACCCCTACCCTACCATACCCCTACCCCTACACTACCCTACCCTACCCAACCCTACCCCTGCCCTACCCCTACCCCTACCCTCCCCTACCCCTAACCCTAACCCTACCCTACCCAACCCCTACCCTACCCCTACCCCACCCTACCCTACCCTACCCTACCCTACTCTACCCCAACACTACCCTACCTTACCCTACCCTACCCCTACCCTACCCTACCCTACCCCACTCCTATACACTAACCTACCCTACCCTACCCCTACACTACCCTAACCTACCCTACCCTACCCTACCCT